TCTTCTTCTTCTTCTTCTTCTTCTTCTTCTTCTTCTTCTTCTTCTTCTTCTTCTTCTTCTTCTTCTTCTTCTTCTTCTTCTTCTTCTTCTTCTTCCTCCTCCCCAGGCCAATGCTGTACTGACTGCAGATTCACCCCTGAATAGTCATAAAATGGCCATAAATCTATGCAGACACCCACCATAAAACCAGAGATCAAACACAGTGAAAGCGGCATGCAGTATGGAGGACACCATATCATCCAACAATCAAAGAAAGTGAAAGTGGCGTGTAATGTAGAGGGGGGTTTCTGTTCCAGCGTGGGTTTGGTAAGACAGCGGAGCGGATGCTGGATGCAGAAGGGGCCACTGAAATGAAAGTGACCGATCCATAAATCTAGGTAGAGGGTGAGCGGCAAATTAGCATACGGCAGAATAAAGGTGCTTAGCAGACGCAAGGACTAAACTGGAATAACAAGCTTAGTTTATAGGGTCACCATTTTGTTTGGGTTTAATTCCGGGTGGAAATATAGGGAAAGAAATAAGTATATCAAAAGCAGAGACTGATGGGCAGGTGAACCCTTCTGAACTGTAGAATGCTGTGAGTAATTAGCTGAGACCCTACTATAATGCTCCATCTCTGTTAACATCTCTGAAGAAGTGCGCGTCCACACAAAAGCTTATGCCTTGAATAAAACTTTGCCTTTCACATCTCTGTCCCCCTGAGCACTGGGAACCTTGGGGAAAGAGCCCTCATGTGTCGCAACACGAAAACAATGCGACGGGAGCCCTTTCTTCAAAACGGCACCTCCCCTTTTTATGCTGGAAACCTTTAAGAAATTCTTAACATATTACGCTTTTTTGAAGGAAAGAAAAAAGACTAGCTCTTCTTTGTCTCCCTTTTTAGGGCTGTCTCTGACCTGTGAGATTTGTGGGGGCACTGGAGATACTTGCACTGGGTCCTTAGAGTTTTGCCCGCCTGGAGAAGACAAGTGTGGCATCATTCTGCTAGAGGGCACAAGAGGTGAGTCCCAAAGACCAAATGTTGGCAGGCTTGGTCAATGTGAGACCAATGACATCTCAGTTTTCCTGTTCCATGGGAAAGCCTGGTCTACTCATCCCTGGTTGCTGCACTACAGGGGAGGAATCCCGCTTAACCGGACACTCTGCTGTGTTTTCATTTCCCTGGGGTTTCCAGTTGTGAGAACCAGAGGTCATTTCGGGGGGGATTGCGGGGGATCGCAGTTCCCCCGGGTGAGGTACGGGGCGGGGCACATGATGAAGCCCCGCCCCCTGCTTCCGGCCGCCCCGCTTCCGGCCCCCATTCAGCCAGGAGGAGGCAGGAGAAGAGGGAGGGTAAGTTGCTTCCTCCCTGCCTCTCCCCACCCCTGCCTGCCTGGGGCCAGGGAGGGCCTTCGCGGGGCTTCCTTGCACTCCTGCCAGCCTTGCAGGTCCACCGCCGGGCCCCTCATGGGGCTCGGCAGTGGAGCTGCAAGGCTGGCAGCGGCGGCCGGGACCGTTGGGGGCGGGGTGTGTGGCCTTATGACACACTTACAGTGATGTCAGGAGGTGTGGCCTCATGACACACTTCCAGTGATGTCAGGGGGTGTGGCATATGCTAATGAGTTATGCTAATGAGTTCCCCTAGCTCTTCTTCTACAAAACAACCCCTGATGAGAACTATCCCATTGCGCTCATTCACTTTTCTCCCGTGAACACTATCTCCCCCTTAGATCAGTCTCCATGGCTCGGATGGTTATCCCCTTGCCATCTGAACTGTGTAGCTATATCAGACAGGGCCTTTTCAGCAGTGGCACCATCACTGATGGCATTTAAATCAATGGCAGGTTCAGACAGTTTCTCAGCAAGTGTTTGGGGGCTTGCGGAGAAATAGCTGCCCGATAAAGAGATGGTCTTAGCAGTTCTGGGCTTCTGGAACCACTGACACCCCACTGCTGGCTTCTACATACTGGGGCCAAGCAAAGGTGGTGTTTGCCCTGTGAAAGATGGGCAAGAGCTGCTACTGCCACTGTAAGCCAGTTGCACGATCCCCAGATGGGGCAGGGACAAGAGGCAACAGGAACACACTCTTCTTCTTTCCCCCCTTCTTTGGTGGGTGGAGACATGGCCAGTTGGACTACCCAAAGTGCAGGACCCAGATCAGCTGCCTCAGCTGACCATTGGCTAGTACTGCCCACAGCCTGATGGCTTTGTTGTGTTTTTCCTTTGCTGTTGTCCTTATCTAAGATAGACTGGTCCCTGTGATGTGGAAAGTTACCACGACCGTTTGCTATATCAAGCAATGCTGGTTGCAAGGGATAAGAACATAAGAAGAGCCCTTCTGGATCAGACCAGTGGTCCATCTCGTCCAGCATCCTGTCTCACACAGTGGCCAACCAGTTCCTCTAGAGGGCCAGCAACAGGGCAGAGAGGCCAATGCCTCCATAAGGAAATAAGAAGAGCCCTGCTGGATCAGACCAGCGGTCCATCTAGTCCAGCCTCTTGTCTCACACAGTGGCCGATCAGTTCCTCTGGAAGGCCAACAACAGGGCAGAGAGGCTGAGGCCTCCATAAGGAAATAAGAAGAGCCCTGCTGGATCAGACCAGCAGTCCATCTAGTCCAGCATCCTATCTCACACAGAGGCCAACCAGTTCCTCTGGAGGGCCAACAACAGGGCATAGAGGCCAAGTCCTTCCCCTGATGTTTTCTCCTGGCCTTGGGATTCAGATGTTCAGTGCCCCTGAATGTGGAGGTTCCCCTCAGTCACCACGGCTAGTAGTCATTGATAGACTTCTCCATGAATCTATCGAATCCCCTTTTAAGGCAGTTTACCCCTGTGGCCATCACTACATCCTCTGGCCACAAATTCTACATTTTAATCACTCTCTGGAATCAAAGGGCTGACTCAAGATAAGGCAGCTTCAGTACAGTGTTTTTTTAATCAGATGCGCCTCCCTTGAGCCCGTCTTGTTTATTTAAATGTTCTGTCTTTTGCAAAATCCTTTCAGCTCTGCAGTCGAGGAACATCGTGAAAACGTGCGTCCGGTCAAACTCCTGCGACCAGCCCTTCACTTCTGTTAATGTAGGCAAAGCCGGAGAAGCATGGACCCATCTTACCTGTTGCACGGGCGACGACTGCCAGAAGATCTCTCCCACATGTACGCTGCTGCCGCATCCCTCTTTCCTTCCCTTCCATTCACCTCTGACTCTCTGGTAACCCCCCACAATCCCGTCAGATAACTTCTGTATCCTTCATTTCCAAAGGATCCAGTTCGATGCTGGGTAGTTTATTATTGATACATCAGTTTAGTAATGTTAAGTCCGCACTTAACAAATTAGTCAGAGAGTGATTTCAGCAAAAACTCAGGTTTATTCAGCTCAACGATCAACTTCTCTAACACGGTACAACTCCTCATAGCCTGAACAGCTTTTCCATTGCAGCTGCTGGGTATTTAAACATTCCGGGCTAATGTAGTCACACCTACTATACAATTGTCAACCTATCAGGTTGAGCGCATAAGGGACCAATCAGAGTCTTTCCCGCTTATATACATTTGAACCTGATTGGTCGCATTAGTCTTGGACTTCAATCCCTGTTCAAGACGAAGCTTAACATTGCTTCCTTATGAGATGTTTCACATTACATCTTAACGTATTCATGGCAGCTTCTGAATACATTACAAGTAATTAGACAATAACAGAAGAATTCCATGTCAAAAACCATTCTCCTGCTGCTGTGCAGATGTTCGCTGGGTCTCATAACTTCACTCAAAGGAATAAAGCCCATTTGGTGTAGTGGTTAAGAGTGGTGGACTCTAATCGGGGAGAACCAGGTTTGATTCCCCTCTCCTCCATATGCAGCTGCTGGTGTGACCTTGGGTCAGTCATAAGTTCTTTCAGAGCTGTTCTTTCAAGGGCAGTTCTCAGGAGAGCTCTCTCAGCCCCACCTACCTCACAAGGTGTCCGTTGTGGGGAGGGGAAGAGAAAGGAGATTGGAAGCCACTCTGAGATTCCTTTGGGTAGTGAGGGGTGGGGTATAAATCCAATCTCCTCCTCCTCTTTTCCCTCCTCCTCTTCCTCTTCTTCCCCTTCCTTTTCTTCCTCTTCATGTTTCTCTTCTGCTTCTGCCTGTCTGTCAGGACTGGACCACAGTGGTGGTGGTGGTTGGCCACAACTTAATCTGGACCTTCTCCTTCAGTGTCCCTACCATCAGTGACTTCAGCAAGTAGAAAGCACCGCCAAACAGGCTAAGAGAGAAGTCCAGGTTTTTAGTGGTTATACCAGGCCTGGCCAATCCAGAGGCTTCATAGTTCCAGCCAATCACAACGGTTCATGTTGCACAAACCCATTCTGTGCAATTGTACCCATTCATGTACAAAGTCTTGAATACATGCAACCATCAGTTTCGTCCTCAAACTCCAACCCCAAGGTTCCGTATTCAAAATCATATTTTTTCAAAGGCATTATGACAATGCCACCACATCAAGCAATGCAGACAGAGCATTGCTTCCCCTCCCTGTCCTTGCAAGCATGGATTCTTCGTGCAGCAAGACATGAGGGTGCTGCGGGTAGAGCAGATGACTGCCGTAATGAAGAAATGTGTCCTAGTAAATTAAATGGGCTCATAAAAAATACATCCCAAAGTTTTAAGCTACTCTGTAGAATGGGAGGAGCTGAGAGAACCACTGAGTGAAGGAGTCGTTTGTGTCTGAGCCATGTGATTCCCCCCCCCCCATTTAGGCTTATCAGATTGTCTACTATGGCAAGCTAAGTTCAGCTCTGGCTCCCAGCCCCTGCTGTTATGCTTTGTTCCCAGCAGGAGCAAAAAAACGGGGTGTGGGCGGGAAGCAACATTGCAGTCCACCATAAAATCACTTCTCGTTGCACCTGGAAGTGATGTCACAATGATCTAGGCATTCCTCAGACCTCTATGATTTCCTACCATAGAGATTGCAGCTTTCCTAGAGCATCATGGCATCACTTTCATGCAGAACTAAAAGCGATATTGTAGTGTTGGGCGATGTCACTCCACCACTCCCACCGGGGCAAAGAGGCCAGATGGCAACTGCCCCAATCACCTTGCCTGGACTGTTTTGGTACAAATCTCACCCTCTCCTCTTTCATGCAGTGCCACCCTTGAACACCACGTCCAATGGGAAAACATGTCCAGCTTGCTACGCCACGCACAGCCTTGCATGTGAGGAGGAGATCGTCAAATGTACAGGAGACCAGTTGTATTGCCTCGAGAAATCCGGGAGTATAACTTTTGGTAATTTATCTCTGTTCATGCATGCGCATCCTGGTCTTTATTTTTAAGGTCGCCCACCAATATTGTCCCATTCTATTGGGATATGGCGTAGCCTCCTCATCTACTCCCCCACCTCCTAAACAGGGAATATCTAAAAACAGCCAAGCCTTCCCCGACTCTTCTCTTCTTCCTGCTTTTTTTAACTTGAACGAGATTGAATCTATTTCCTGGGCAACCAGTCACTTATTTTCATGCTCAGAAACAGAACACATAAAACTGCTTCCTACTGAGTCAGGCTGTTGGTCTATCGAGCTCAGTCTTCTCTGCTCTAACTGACAGCAGCTGTCCAGGGTCTGAGGCAGAGGTCTTTCACCCAGGGGTCATTTCATAGAAAAAGAGCTAGGGGAACTCATTAGCATAACTCATTAGCATATGCCACACTCCCTGACATCACCAGAAGTGTGTCATAAGGCCACACACCCCGCCGCAAACGGCCCCGGCCGCCGCCGGCCTTGCAGCTCCAATGCCGAGCCCCATGAGGGGCCCGGCGGTGGACCTGCAAGGCCGGCGGGAGTGCAAGGAAGCCCCGCGAAGGCCCTCCCTGGCCCCAGGCAGGCAGGGGTGGGGAGAGGCAGGGAGGAAGCAACTTACCCTCCGTCTTCTCCTGCCTCCTCCTGGCTGAATGAGGGCCGGAAGCGGGGCGGCCAGAAGCAGGGGGCGGGGCTTCATCATGTGCCCTGCCCCCCGTACCTCACCCGGGGGAACTGCGATCCCCCGCATTCCCCCTGAAATGACCTCTGCTTTCACCTCATCTACAACCTGATTTTTTTTCAACTGGAAAAGCTCGGGATCAAACCTGGGACCTTCTCCACACAAAGCAGATGCTCTACCACTGAGCCACAACCCTTTCCCCCAGATCGTCAGTAAAAATAAATAAATTACCATATGGCATTGTGTGTAGTATTAAAAAAACAAAGAGAGAACCATGACTGCTAGGACTATAGGAGAGGCAAGAGAAAGGCAGTGCAAAAAACACTAATATGCTGAAAAATATATTCTAATAAGCAATAGTCACACAAAGGGAAGGAAACCATTCAAAGTGCCTAATTATGATACATCCGAAGTGTCTAGTAGTGATACATCACATATTCAAAGACATTATACCACATATTCAAGGAGATAAGCATAAAATAGAATCAAATATAAACATTTGAAATAAAGGACCAAAATTGAGTAGAGTCTTCTAACGAAGTTTCCGGATAATATGTTCATTTCATGGATCTTCTTCAGAGAATAACCAATACTACAAAAATATCATTCCATTAAATATTACCAAAGAATGCAAAAATTAGACATAGATGGTTACAGGTGTATGATATTTAAATATTTAAACCATTTTAAGATTTTAAGGTTTCAAGTTTTATAAGATTTTATAAGCATGTTCTACTATGTTCTACTATGATTTTTACAAAATTATATAACTACCTGCAATCATGTTTTCTTAAGACTTCATAGACTAGTCTGAGTATATTTATCAGTCTATAATAACAAAACAATAGCCATCAGTATTCCATATATACCAATTATGTAATACAAAATGAGACGTATTCAGGCAAAAAAGCACTCACCAGTATTCTTCATACTGAAAAAATTAAGTTATGCAAGGCATACTGAGAGTCTATAAATGGACCGTCTTATTCAGCATCGAGTATTCTAAGTGCAGCTTCCGTGAGCTATAGTTAGTGTGGGTCTTTAGAGTACCTAAATTAATTAGTACCAAAGGAATGTCTTAAAGTCACATAACTAAAAACTAAAAACAACAAACATCATATATAAGCAACCTGCATGAAAGTGATTAAGAAAGTCAAATGATTAAGACCATAAGGATGACACGTTTTGTCTGTGTATCCAAAAAGCTTCTCGTTGAGATAGTCTCTTTTGAACATCTGTTCTATTATATCTGTTTACTACTAAGATTTCCAGTACCAAAAACTTGAAATCATCAAAATTTACACAAACAGTCCCCATGATGAGGCTAGAATGAACATACAATTAGAATCGGAACCACGAGGCTCAACCATCCCCCACCCCCGACTCATTTTCTTTTAGATCTGGAGGATTTAATTTTTGAAAAGAGTTATTTTCGCTTCCGAGATGAGTTTTACTTGCAAGTAAAAGGGGTGGCGATGGGAAGCTCTTCTGCCCCGAGTGTGAGGAACCTGTTTATGGCTAACTTGGAATCAAAATGGATCTATAATGCCTCAACCCAGGTCAGTAACCACTGGACACTGCACTGCAATTCTAATCCTGACTGGTGTCTCTCGCAATTCTCTCGGCAGGTGAAAGAAATGTGCCGTTTATCATGAAAGGATGTGCAAACAATGCATACTGTAACAATACGCAAGAGCATTCCTTCTTTGACGGGATCCATAATATTGTAACCATCAATTGCACACTAGCCTCTGGGACTGCTGGTATCGTTCCAGGATTGTTTGGACTCTTCCTCCAAGCTCTTGTTGGGCTCTTGCTTGCCAAGACACTGGACTGATTTCCTAAGGCTGAGGTGCTCCTCCAGCGGTTTCTCCCGGCCAATCACTTGTGGCTCTTAGGTTGGCAACTGGCCATAGATTTTATAAAGCTCTCCCTGTCCACAGGACAAAAGATTAACTTCCTCTATCCCATCATGGCTTCTGGCAGGACCAGTGTGCGCATAGGAAGGGGGCGGGCATTTGGGCAATGCATCCAATCGGTGACTGAAGAAAGTCGGGCCTGGTGGCACTCACCAGTTGATAGCAGTGGTAGGTACTGGGTGAAGTGGGTCTGTGGGAGCTGCATGTTTCAGATGCTTCAATACCCAGTGGGAGGGTGGTCAGCGGTGCCCAGGCTGGGCCACTGTTGCTGTCATGTATCAGCATACCGGGGACCTATTGGGTGCTGCCTCTGCTGCTTACCTTGCACTATATCACTTTAAATGCATTCAACTGCCATGTTAAAGGGGAGGGGAAGAATCCCAGAATGCAATTTATTAAAGGCTCTGAAAAATCCAAATGGCTATTTATTTCAATGTGTTCGTTTTAGCAAGGACGCTTTCAGAAAAAAGGCAATAGTTCTAAATCGGAGACAATAAATATTAAGCTGAACCTAGCTGTATCCCCAAAGCACCCCCATATAAATTACATTTTGCTATCTTAAATGGCACCACTTCACAATAACAGCTCCGAACTGTACATATTGTTTCTCAAAATGTAATACAGATTATTACTATTAATTTAAAATAATGTACCTTTGAATAAAAAGTCGATATAAAATATACAGGTTTGTGGAATGGTATAGTATTGCCCAGTCTCATCAGATCTTGGAAGTTAAGCAGAGTTGATAATTTGGCAGGAGACCACCAAGGAAGACTTTGCAGTGGAAGGCAATGGCAAACCACCTCTGATTCTAGGGTTGCCAGTTTCCTCCTGGCAACTGGTGGGGGATGGGGGAATTTATCAGGAGAGAGAAGAAGGCCCAGGTGATGTGAAGATGTCCTTTCCAGTGCTCATAGGAAGTGACATCATCAAGTTGTGACATCTTGGAGATTTGCTGGTATTTGAGCAAAAACTTCATGGTAAAAATGGCTTCTACCATAGAGTTCTTGCCTAAACATCAGAGTGTCACCTGGAGTCACCTGTGGGATGATGTCACTTCCTGTGCGTGCTTGGAAGTGACATCACTATGCCACCAGCGATATCACCTGGGACTTCTTCCTTTTCCTGTTAAGTCCCCCCACTGACCAGCTGATTGGTGCCTGGGGGGTTGGGGCCTGGTGGTGCCCCCCCTGTCTCCACGGGGGGAGCTGGCAACCCTATCTGCTTCTGACTTGCTTGAAAACCCTATGGGGATCAGTACAAATCAGCTGCGACTTGATGACACTTTACATACACACATACAAAATATAGAAGATATCCAACATTGCATGTATTAATAAAACACTTGTCACAAAAATATTTGCCACAATCCATGAGAAGACCACCACTCCAGGTACCAGCCTGCAGAGGCCCTTTTCCAAACAGCCTTTGTATGGATCCCGGGGCTAGAAGAGGTCATGGGGACAAGGACTGCCAGCCTGAAGGTGAGATAAATAATAAATGTTCTAAATCTCCATTAATTAATTGTTCACAAGCCGTTTTCTCTCTTAACCGACTTCCTTCTTTTGCTGTTTGTTTTTTATATTTAGATACTATTTGATAATATTAACAGCCACAAAATATTCTTTCCTGCGTAAATCTCTTGCCAAGATTTAATGTTTCCTTTGTCTCATCATATATTCATAAGTCATATGATCATTTATCTTTCTTGTACTGCTATCGCAATACGCATCGATTGGAGATGTCAGTGGCGAAATGGGCATATGAACCTTTTTTTTTTTGCCATCTTTTAAAAATCTTTTCATCTATGTGGATTGGTAACTTTTGAAACAAGAAAGTCAGTTTTGGTAATATATTCATTTTAACAGCAGAAATTCTACCCAACCAATAACTTTTCAGTTTTTCCCATCTTTGCAGATCTTCAGTAATACTCATCCAGGCTTTTTGGTAATTATCTTTATATAAATTCTAAAACATTTAAAACATGATTGCAACCCAGAAAATTTGATATGCCCAAAGTGCAAACTGTGCAAGTGCTGGGGGGAATAATTTGAACAGGTGGGCCGAATCACCACCAGGAACATAGGAATGCCACAATTCTCAGCACAGGCAGGTTTGAGCAGGGGAGGCTGATATAATTGAACATCTGCTATCTCAACCAAAGGCCTGATGGAACAACTCTGTTTTGCAGGCCCTGTGGAATTGTAATAAATCCCAAAGAGCCCTGATCTCAAGTGGGAGCATGTTCCACCATCCTGGGGCCAGAGATGAAAAGGCTCTGGCCTTGCTTGAGGTTAGGCAGATGTATTTTGGCCCGGGGATTGCCAGAAGATGATGTTCAGATGATCATAAAGCTCTTTTGGGGACATATGGGGAGAGGTGGTCCCGCAGATGAAGTAGGTATCTGATATTATCTTTCACGTATCTTTTTGGTATTCTTGATTAATGGTGTAATTAAAACCTATCAATATGGCCCAAGGTGGTTGTGGCCTTACTTTGCTTCACCTCTGAGTGAGTATTCACCCCATTCTGGGGGTCCAGGGAGACCCACTGAGGATAGGCGAGTGGAAAGGCCAATAAAATCTGCATTGGACGTCTGAACTTGTGACCTCTAGGCTAGGACCTGCCATCTGAGCATCTAGTCAATAACTGAATAACTATTATGGTTCTATCCTGCCCTACCTTCAAGGAGATCAAGGACACAAACGTTGTTCTTCTCTCCTCCAACAACCCTGTAAGGTAAGTTAGGCTGAGAAACAGTGACTGGCCCAAGACTGTTCAGCCAGTATCATGGATGCGTGGAGATCTGAACCAAGTTTTCTCTGGTTTTGCTCCAGCACTCAACCCATACTTGCTATCAAAGTGGAAATCTATTCCAAATGGAGTACCAGAAGGAACTCTGGAGTTCAGTCATGAGCTTCTCACTGGTTACGGGCTTAGAGGACACATATTTTTATTGACTGAATTAGTTATGTCATGAATTTTGCTACAGACAGACACACCCCATTCACTGCATGATGGGAAATTCCTGGAGATTTGGGGGTGGATCCTGGGGAGGGCAGGGCTTGGAGAGAGGAGGGACCTCAATGGGGTATAATGCCATGAAGTCCACTTTCCAAAACAGTCATGTTCTCCAGGTGAACTGACCTCTGTAATCTGGAGATCAATTGAAATTCTATGAGATCTTCAGGCCCTATCTGGAGGTTGGCCCCCCAACCCATTCAACACTTACCCTCAGACCATGGAACAGTCAAGCTTCTGTTCCCCTTGAACCAGGGTAAAGGGGGGGCAAAACAGTGGCTAGCCATGCCCCAAAATGAGTCAGAGTCAAGAACAGTGTCCTTTTAAGAAATAAAGTAGAAGTAAAGGTTTCCCTTGCTTGAAATCCAGTCGAATCCGACTCTAGGGGGTGGTGCTCATCTCTGTTTCCAAGTTGTAGAGCCAGCACTGACGGAAGATGTTTCCATGGTCATGTGGCCAGCATGACTAAACGCCGAGGTGCATGGAAGGAACGCTGTTACCTTCCCACTGAAGCTGTATGCAGTAAAAGATAAGGAGGGGTGTGGTGTCAATAGAAAGAAAGTCTCACTGTATGAATAAAAGTCATAGTGATGAATGTGTCTAAATCCATTCTGATGCATCCAAGCAATTTACCAGAAGACTGGATCCCCTGTTTGCAACTGTCAAGCACATTATGAGTTGAACCCACCAGTGAATGAATGCAGCTCTTAAGAACATCAGAATTGCCTTTCTGAATTAAAGCATGATAGGGATCATGTGGGGTTGTTGGTTGTGTGCAAAATACTGTTGGATAATCTACAGATATGGATAACTGACAAAATTCTGGGAAGCAAGCAATCGGAAGCACTCAGCTCCTCAATGAAAACGTCTAATCAGAGCAGATCCCTAATACAGGATGTTCTCAAGTAAGTGGAAAGAACACTTTTACTGTCCTCGATTCTCTAAAGCTGTCTGGATTTACATAATTTATAAGATTTTGCATTACTGACTGTTTGGTGTCATGACTTGGCATAACATATCCTTGTTTTGCTATGATGGGAAAGAAACACTGCAGAGCATTGGAGTCCCCCACCCCCATCTCATCCAAGGCCTGTTATTCTACCGTCCTTTGGGCTTGTGGGGTGTCACTGCTCCCATGCAAACTGAAGCATGTCTTTGCAGCTGTAAGTTTTAGAAACACTTCTTAGAATGAAAGTGGATATTCTCATGTCGGCTCTAAAACCTTCAGTGGACCAGGGCTATTTTTGGGCAGGAACGCACAGGAACGGAGTTCCAGCTGGCTCCCAAGTTGGCCACACCCAGCAGGAACTCATTAGCATAATAGGCCACACCCAACAGCAGAAACTCATTAGGATTGGCTACATTAGGGGTGTGTGGCCTAACATGCAAAGGAGTTCCTGCTATAAAAAAAGCCCTGGGTTTGGACAACAAACAAGGTAAACAGAATAACAAGCAAGAGGTGGGTGTGGCTGGATAACCACAGTTCTGGTAACATGGGGGTCCGGCCTAGTGTGGTAATGAGCTGTGCTGGCAGGGGTGTGGCCCAATAGGCTAATGAGTTCCTGCTGTTGGGTGTGGCCTATTATGCTAATGAGTTTCTGCTGGGCTTTTTCTACAAAAAGAGCCCTGCGAGTGGACTATGCGATTACGTTTGGTAGAAGCACAATGTGCCTTTACACATTGTCCCCGGAGCGCTTGCAAATGTTGCCCTCGAGACAGGCACCCAGAGAAGGAAAAGTAAAGATGTTGAGGGCTGCTCATGCAGATAGCTAATGTGCTCATAGCTAGGGCTGTCAACTCTGGCTTGGTAAATTCCTGATGATTTGGAGGTGGAGCCCGGGGAAAACAGGACTTGGGGAAGGGAGGAAGAGCAATAGCAATGTGATGCCTCTAAGCTGAGTTAGTGTGAGTTGGCTCAGTTCTTTAGTCTCCGGCTCACATGTTTTTGTCTTAGCCCAGGAAGGAGGGCTCCAGAGCAAACTAACTAATGCAGCAGCCAAACTGCTCGCTCACAACTTTAATGCCAGTAGCTCACAAAGTAGATTTTTTGCTCACAAGACTCCACACCTTAGAGCGAACATTGGCTATGACAGACCCCTGATGCTTCCCCACCCTCAGGCAGATTTTCTCTGCAAAAATATTTTTAGTTCCCTTCAGTGACTGAGCCACCCTTCAGTAGCATGTATTTCTTCTTTATTTTATAAGCTTTAACTGTCCCGCTCTGTCACAGATACTAGTTTAGGCTTATGACCTTGCACAGGGGATACAGGAGCCGTCCTGTTCTAAAATACCCTCATGGAATGGCACATGAGGCAAAACTGACTTTCACAAACAGAATAAAGGTTTTATTACTCAGGCAGGGAATATATATATGAATCTGAATTGCCACCCAAGAGAAATAAAAGACAGACACGAGTGTTGGATTTAACTATTGGGCCACTTTATTAAATGACATCTTACTGTAACCAACGGCAAGGGCAAACAGTTCAGCGGTATGATCAAGGCCCGGGGGTCACCGACCCCTTCCTTGACTTTGCATAGGGCGAGCCACCCAACCCCAGGCTAG